TATTCCGGAGTCCATACGAAGTCGTTCTTCTTCTGCAGAATTGAAAAACAATGGTGGCATTTTTCTAAGGACCTTGAGATGAATCTGCTGAGAGCTGCCAACCTGCCGTTCAGCCTCTGCACTTCCTTCACACTCATCAACTGATCTGGGATGTCCTTGATGGCTTTGATTATCAGTATTTACCTCGATTCCTCTCTGCGAGACCAGAAACCCCGAGAATTTTCCAGAGCCAACCCCGAAGGCACACTGCTACCAGGAGTTTCTTTTGCCTTACTATTGGAAAGTCTGGATCAAAACTTAGTTTGTGGACCGCTACTCCAATGGGATACCTGTCATATCCGAGTGCGATCAGGCAAAGAAATCAACGTTAGATTTAATAAAATTTATTAACTCTATCCTGAGCTCGGGATTTAACCCTGTTCCCAAATGAAACTTTCTTTCCAAAAACTCCTCGAACAAAGCCACTTGCTCGAGCTCTTTTGTTGTCCATTTGGTCGCATCTGTCTCCTTCGGTACCTGAAAATACCTCAGGACTTGGTAGGATCCCGATGAGAAGGCATCGATTTCTGTAATTGCTATTTGTTTGATTCTTTGTCCTTGCTGCTGGTTGCTCTTCTCTTATCTGTTTGATCCCCTCAGGTGTCGTAAACTTCAATAATTGATGATACGTCGAGGGCATAACCTTTATCTCGTGTATCCACGGCCTTACGAGGATTACATTGTAACCCATATCACCATCTACTACTTCCAACATGGTGGTCTTTGTTACACTTTAAGCGTGAGTGAGTTGTAGAATCTCTCCTCGGGTTGTCACACTTGTTAGATTGAAGCCAGCTATGAGCTTTGTCGCCGGAATTATGTTCCTAGTTAATTTCTCTTTCTCCAGAACTCTCCATTGTATGATATTGGCTGAACTTCCTTGATCAACCAAAACACGCTTAATTTTAAAATCTAAAACATTGAGAGTGATTACCAAAGCATAATTGTGCGACAGAAGAAGTCCGTCAGCATCCTCCTCCGTGAAGGTGATGTCATCTTCTGAGACTTTCCAGACCCTCGTGCAATGAGTAACTAATATCTTCGTTTTCTTTGCAGTTGAAAATGTTACCCCATTGATTTCATTCCCACCGAAGATCATGTTGATCGTCATCTAGGGTAATCCTGCTGCTGGTTTTGATGGCTCTGCTTCGTCCCGACTCCAACCATAGTTGTTTTTGGCGCGGCCACTTAAAAACTCTCTAAGATGGCCATTCGTTAACAACGTCGCCACCTCCTCACGAAATTGTCAGCAGTCCCCAGTTCTATTGTCGTGAGTCCCATGGAATTCACACCACAAATTAGGATCTCTCTGGTTAGGATCCGATCAGATTGGTTTCGAAAACTGTGCTTCATTGATATTCCTCATTGCCGACACCAATTCTACGAGGCTGATGTTAAAGTTGTAATCTGATAACCTGGGATATGCAGGATCTCAGGCCCCTGGCATCTCTTTTTCTTGCGACGACCTGTTGTTTCGGCAATGATCCGTCCTTCTGTCAGGAGCAAACCTATACGATGACTGAAATCCTTTACTGCTATGCCCATCGGTCCTCTCGTACGGTAGAAAACGACCCATAGAGGACCTATGATCTTCACCAAAGTCATTTTTAAACTTGTCCTAATTTTATCGCGACCCCGTACCTTGGTGGGTACCGATGAGCCAAGTTGATCATCTTTTATCCTTATCTTTGACTCATAGCGGTTGTGGACATCTGCCTATGTGGTTGCCTGAAACTAGAGCAAGCTCTGCTTCAATTTTCGGGAGGCATCAGAACTCAGTGGATTTAGACCCTTCGTAAATTCCTCCACTGCTCATTCATTCGGAACCACTGGTAATATCATCCTTTATTTTTGGAACCGAATCACGAATTCTCGTAGCAGCTCGGACTCGCCCTGCGAAATTCTAAATATAGCTGCCTTTCTGGCCTGGACCTTTCTCGCTACGGCATGAGCTTTTATGAATGAATTTTCAAGCATTTCAAAATAATCGATTGAATGCTCATGTAAGAAGGAATACCATGTCAGGGCACCCTTCGTGAAGGTTTCGCCGAACTTTTTCAACAAAATCGACTCGATCTCATGTTGAGCCAAGTCATTTCCTTTTACTGCTGTGGTGTAGGTAGCGATGTGCTCCTGCGGATCCGAAATCCTATCATACTTCGGTATGTCTGGCATTTTGAACCTTTTTGGGATCAACTCCAGTGCCACACTTGGTTTAAACGGTGTTTGCGTGTACTTTTTCGAATCTGGACCCTTTAACACCAGCGGCGTGCCCGGAATCTGATCCATCTGAGCATGAAACTCCTTCGCGTTCTGATTCATTCATTCATCTCTCATGAATTTCATGAGCTCGATTTTGAAAGGATCATTCAAGTTATTGTTCCTGATCCACTACCGGTACCCCCTGGCTCCTTCGAAATCGACCCCATCCCTTGGAGTATTATTATCAGTCCTTTGTGCCGTCTGATTTGCGGGAATGTTGGGATGAACCGGGGCCCTTACATTAGCATTGTTGGAAGCACGCCTGCTTCAATTCCATCATCGCACGATCTTTCCTTGAGAGGTGGTCCATGTTTGCTCTTTGCTGCTCCCTCAAGAGTTTAACCGTTTCCACAACGTGTTCGTCCTACGCATCATCAGGAGTTGGGCCCCGCACATGTCGAGGATATTGTCCTTCGCGAACTGGGGTTGTCTCATCTCCTTCATTGCGGGTTTCGCTGATAGAATCAACACGCTGAAACACCTCTTCCCGTTAATCGTGTGCTCCAATGTTGTGAGCGTTGTTGACATTATTGGTTGCCATATCTAACTTTGACTTAAGAAAAAACTTAAATTCATTGGTAACAAACGAACGGATCAAAGCAATTATGCAGCTTTCTATGCCCCACGGTGGGCTCCAAATTATTTACCCGTAAAATAGTACAGTTGAATTTATAGCTTGATTTATAGACAAGAAAATTGATTTGATCAAAAATGATAAAGAAATGAGAACAAAAATAAGATTAACGATTGAAATGAAAGGAGATAGCAAGCCTGATTCTGGGCTCGGTCTTTCCGGGGATCAAAAGTAAAAGCAGTGATAAAGCAATGATAGAACTATTTTGATTTGAGCGTAAAATATAAGTTAAAGCTTTTGTATGCAGAATGTTTCATGTCCTACAAGGGTTGTCAATCTTGCTATTTATAGCTATTCTTAGGGAGACAAGATCCTAAAATCAAGCTCCTCTTAAATGAGAATAAAAACGTCATTGATGGGTGCATAACGGCTGCCTTTGAATGCAGATATTCTCTGTAACAACTTCTCATTAAATATTATCTGATGTCAAGCCTTCGAATCTTTACCATCGGTTGTGCTTCCTTCGAGATCCATCATGTACTCGTTACGCACTTCGTACCCGGTGCCGATTATTTGCCGACTCTACTTTTGCCTTTCCTCGGTTCCACATGTCATCTCGCTATTTAGCCACTTGTTATCAACCAATCTCACCCTATACACTGGGTTGTCTGAAAATTTATAACATAACTCATCTAGAGGTCTAATATTGAAATTTAGATGACTCCAAAAGAAGAAAAATTAAAGGGAAAAGGTCCAAATTTACCCTTTTACTTTTGAATATTATCTACATCTAACATTCGTTATACTATTTGGTCAAATTTACCCTTACCGTTATACTATCCAGCTAAATTTACTCCTACCATCAACAAACTTTTAAAAACTACCCCTCAGTCTGTCAGGTGACCCAGAATTTCCCAAATCATTTTATCTAAGTAACTTATTCTTTTTCTTGATCCACTATTTTCAAAAGAGTTGGTATTTACCTGTTTTCTTAATTGGAAAATAAAAATAAGCGAAAGAAATATTAATATAATGCAGCGGTTAGTAAACAAAGTATAGTAAATTGAAGAATCCAAATTAGGTAGCTTGTCCAAATTCTAAAAGTATTTACAACACCCCAACTTTAATGAATTCGTTCATCAAATGTATGGAGACTTTGCAAGTATTAATGATAGAAGTTGAAATTCCTGGGAGACTTTGCATTGTCGAATTCAACTTTGCTTTAATCAAATGCCTACGCATTGTGTACTCTTAAGTTAGTCAATCTATACTAATTAGACAATTATAAAATATATTCGAATATACATGTACATACATGATGAGCAGCCGCATATAATACATAACTAATAGAGCTACTGAATTATGCGGTGTGTATATGGTTGAAAAATTATAAAAAATTTAAACTAATTCCAAACCCATTATCACAATAAGAGAAGTGGGTGCAATGGTAATTAAAAATATTCATGATTAATTGTATAGTTTATTACCTTTAGCATTCACATTAATAGTAATTTCTAAAAATAGTGGATCAAGAAGAAGAAGTGATTTGGGAGATTTTGAGTTACCTAATGGATTAAGCGGTAATTTTTAAGATTTTGCTAATTGTAGGGGTAAGTTTGGCCGAATAGTATAACGGAGATTACATTGTAGACAATATTCAAAAATAGGGGTAAATTTGGACCATTTCCCAAAATTAAATAACCACATTCATAAAGGTGATCTCAACACTTTGTCCTAACTCCTAATCAACTGATCTTCTAACTTGGGAAATTCGAGAAATTTTCTGTAGAAGTTATTAAACTCAATAAGGTACGCAATTTTCACATTAGTTCATGATTTCAAAACAAACTGAATTAAGCAAACCTAGCACTCTATTTTCTTCTTATTATTGTTATCCCGTAACGTAACACACTCGAATCAAGATATTGACATGTTTAGTGAAGGCATTAATTAAATCAAATAAATAAATAAATTACCAGCTACTTGCAATTTGAACCCCTCATTTTGTTTCATATCAAATTTCAAGTCTCTTTTTCTTTTAGATACTTTTCTCCTGAGGTGCAACCCAAAATAGAAAAATAAAAGTGAAAAAGGAACCAACCAATACTTTTCGGGGACTACTAGCTTAAAACAAAACCATATCCTGGCATATTAATCAGAAAATGTTGGAACAAACATATGATATTTCATTTCCATCTAGTATTTGGAACTTGATTGTTCAAAGGATTGATCTGACATGATATGCAAAGTTAACAAAGCTTCTTTCTGTTCTTACCGAGTTCCACAAGCATAGTTAACATAGCTTCACACATTTCACTAGCATCCGGTTCATTTGGGTCCTTTTTCCATGATGAATATACCATCCAAGCATGATCAAGCTTCATGTCTGGTTTTACCACCACTGAACCGGGTACTTCAGCATCACGACAGGTCACTAGACCGTCACTCTTCTCTCCATACCTTAATTGCAGGTGGAGTGCACAAAAAGCGAGTCCAGCAGAAACAGGAACCATAACAGGCACCTTGCAGCCTGCTTGGATGACATCTGCTGAGTCATTGTCACCAAACCCAGGCAAAGGTAGCCAAGGAAGTTCAGCATGTGCAATATGGGACATTGTTGCTATTACGTTCAGTGCTATACTGGCTTCAGAATGGAAGGAGATGAGAGGAATATCGTCAGGAAGCTTGTGGTTTTTTATGAACTCCTGTCGCTTCTCATACGTGAGATCCTCTAATGCCCGTATGTCACCCTAATAAAGAATGAACAAACTATCAAGAATATTTGTGGAGCTACATACCCAGGCATGTTAAAAATTATTGAGTATACACTTATTATGCCACATAAACTTCCATGTATAGAACAAACAAAACAACACTTGTGAAAGAGAAACGTGAAACAGGTATGCAATGGTTAAATGCAGAATAGTCATTAGACTGTTGACATCACGAAAAGAGAATACTGAAATTCATTTAAAAGCACGACAATTTGTTTAATCGTGGCACTATTGAAAAGCCATCCCACAAATGCTTTTTAAAATGTGTAACGCATCCGCCGGCATTGATAGAATATTTGGGATTGGGGATGAAGAATTTAAATGTCACCAGAGGTACATATTAAGTTTCTTAATAACCAAGTATTTTTGAATTATCACTTCCATTTCCTTATATTCTAGTCGTTTACTGTACAAACCAGCATAACCTTGGGAAGTAATGAACTTGAATAGTAGTTATAGGTTGTATATAATAGAAATCTAGCATCCAGCATGAAAAAAGGCAGCCCGGTGCACTAAACTCCCGCTATGCGTGGGGTCCGTGGAAGGGCCGGACCACAAGGGTCTATTGTACTTAGCTTTACCCTGCATTTCTGCAAGAGGCTGTTTCCACGGCTCAACCCGTGACCTCATGGTCACATGGAAACAACTTTACCAGTTACGCCAAGGCTCCCGTTCAAATCTAGCATCCAGCATGATCAATTAATTTGTGAATAAAGCATGTATAGGTATCATTAAATTATCTAAACAGGATGCTCCCAGATGCTTATTTTTCAGCTTTTGATGTTATCAAGAATTAAGACAAAACTGTTGGTTTTGAAAAACTTTATAAGTATGCATTATAAGACAATATCACGCAATTACTCCAAAAATGTTAAGCTATAGACTAAGAGGATCAATGTTTGGGAAATTGAAAGCGATCATACTGCTACAGGAAGCCCTTTAACTCGCTCTGGATTCCAACATGCAAAAGAGTTGGCCATTTCAATAACGAAATATTTTAACGAAACCAAAATAGTCGTGAAACAAGGCATTACCTTAATTAGCTTGCATATTAAAAACTCCATGATCCTTCGCGTTTCCTTGTCAGCAATCTGGCCTTCACGAAGAATATCTGATGCAACAGGCGTCCCACCATAAGGGCTCTGCACAAATGCCAGCCCTGCAACTTTATCCTTTAATTCATGCCAATATTTTGACAAAGCAGCGGAGGCGTCGACCCCACCCTTACTGTGACCAAGCAGCATCACACGTTTGCCAGACCCCCAGTGTAACTCCTCAATGTATTGCTTCAATTCCCATGCATTTTGTTCCACGGATGCCTTCATTTAGTGATAAATGATCCAACAGTAACAGAGAATCATAGTTTGAAGAAGATTAAAAGAACTTCCTGAGAGCAAATTCACTATACTAACAGATGAGATTTCTTTTATCTTATGAGTTATGACTAGTAGATACCTCACTATGAATCTTAGCAATATGGCAAATTAGTCCCATCTTTGAAAAGAACTTCTTAGTGCTCACAAAATATAAGGGACCGTGATTGCTGAAAAACCCTGTACAATGATGTTACGGATCAAAAACAAATCTTAAGAGAATGAAATCCGAGACACGTTTAGAATCTGATTATGGTAGTACTAAGCGGGAGATTTATCAAACCTGGAATTAGTAGATAAACAAAAGAATCCGGTAGTGTGTGCTGTCCATTCCTACAGAAAAGGAAAACAAAAGGAAAAATAAGAGTGTTGTTAATTGGCAGGTAGTCATTTGCAATGAAAGATTCGAATTGATTTAAAGACTGAACCAGGCTGTCATCTGAACAACACTCACAAAATCATATGAATTTTATTCATAGCTAGAGAAGATCCAGCTAACACAGTTGTATGATGCCTATAGGACTCCAAATTACGCGGACTAAAGACACTCAAAAGAAGTGAAGATAATCTCTTTATGTTTTCACGTGTCTTTCTGCAATAACAAAATCCACTTGCTGAAGAAGCAAACAGTTAGATGATATCTCCAACTGCAATGGCTTTGATCCCTCCGCTATATTAATCAAAATATGAATCTTTCAGTTTAATTATGAAGGGAAATATCAGAGAGAGAAAAATGGCTCTCAAGTCTCAATCTTAGCAACTCGTATGTATACAAAACGAATGTAATACCCACAAGTACTGACAGACCAAATAGAAAATGCAAAATAAAATGTCTATGCTGGTCCCTCCTTTATTTGTAATTACCAAAGAGAATCCTTCAGGAAAGGCAACAGCTAAAAGCTATAAGATAATACGACTCAGTGTTAAGACTTGAAACAAGATGATCTTTCATTACTTGTCATATTTGCACGAAGAAGTCATAATCAAACAAGCTGTCAACAACATTAAATAAAAGAGCAATAATTTGTATTGCTGAATTTTAGCCTTTTAAATTAATGATGTGCTATATCCAATCTACTAAATTGAAAAATAGTAAAATGACAAACATACAATGTTGTTTGGTAGATTTCATTCAAGTTGGTAGGACTATCACTTTGAGGAAGTTATGATCATGACTATCACCTAAAGGAAGCTACAGATCATTTCTTTCATCATTACACAGAGTAGCAAAAATTTTAGAGGAATCTACACATTTAGAGCAATAGCACCAGTCGCGGGGTTCTAAGTTGGGCCAATGAAACAACAAGCAGCTCAGTGCAATGAAACATGGCAACGGTTTACGGAAAAATCTCATCAGCTGAACATAGAACCATTTCGTGATGATTTAATTGCGTCCAGTTGGCTTAGTATCATATTCAAGTTATTCAGCACCTATCCCAATCGATAAAAGAGAAACATGACCAAGAACTCACCACTATATGTTCTCTTTATTCTGAAAAACTACAATTTTCAAAGATAAAAACATCTGGCTTTTTTTTCCTATATTCCAAAGTGACTAGGAAGATCCAACATTTTACCTAATATCTTGTAGTAGTTCTCTAAATCTAGCTGAGCCATCAACTACAGGAGCCATTTCAGGAGCTCGTTGCATCCACCCAATGTCATCAGAAGATCCATGCAAGGTTTTAAGGACACGAGATATAACACTGAAGAGATTAATGAAGAATAAGTAAAAGAAACAAAACAGTATGCTGCTAAGATTGAATGTCAAGCGGAAGAAATGATCTAAAATACTTATCAACAGTGAGAGAGTGATTACTAACCTCTGAACTTGAACTAGAGCACATCGGATATGAGATATAAAACATCTCCAAGAGGCCACCATAAGTTTCCAAGCATATCTTAGACCATATACTGGAAGCATCAACCTACAACCAGATCAACCAACTGCAGAATAAATTAGGACAGTCATGGTTATGTAATGGTGGAAAGAGATATGTGCTAATAAATAAATAAAACCACGATAAGATGATTTCTTAAGTTGGAGTTCTAATTCTGGTTCTGAAAATCAAGGAATCCATAGAGATCCTGCATAATGACCTTGAAGAGGACGAGAAAAGGCATACATATGAAAAGATTACCCTTCAAAAATGAGGCTGAAACCTCCATAACTTTGATTACTTCTCACAATCTCTAATCTTGAATGTACAGGTAAGCTATCATTGGGATTGGAGGTGCTTCTTTCACGAATTATAAGGCTTGATCCTTGGTTGGACACTCTTGAAGAAAATGAGGACGCTTCATGAACAGATCTGTAACCCCTGTTACTGGTGAAGGTTACATGCTGACCACCAAAGCCAACTAAATTTTCCGACCACCCAAAGATATCTATGCAGATAAGATCTTCTGCAATAGAATCACATGAACAGAAACCTTTATCACATCGGAAGCCGTAAACATAGAAAATAAAACAATAGATGTTCAGGGGTTGTATAATTTTGTGCATGCATAAGATAAATTCTTTAGAGAACTTACCAATAAATTGAGCAAATTGCTGGGCTATATAAGAGCTCAAGCTTGCAAGATGTAAAAATGGGTCCTCCATGTTTCATCACAAGAAAAATTTATCAAGATCTTTTCATTCGAGATATCAAGATCAACCCAGAAGAAACCTGCAATGGACCAACAAATGGATTCATAAAGGCAATTCAAGCACCATAAAAATATATATGGAGCTTACAAAACATGTTGTCGCACTAAACAGCATAAAGCCCCAATTCTGATAAAACGATAAGAACACTGATGTAAGTCAAAGATTAAATTTAGTAATGAGTAAAATGCACTTCACACTTACTAGTAAGGGAACACCAAGGAATTCTCCATAGAAATACTAATCTCCCATATTACATTCAACCCAAAGAGAACAAACTATGTCAACTTCATTTAAAAATAACAACAGAAACAAATTCAACGTATCTGAGGGAAGATAGGTTCATTTCAATGCAAGAGTGGTCGTGAATACAACAAGAGGTTTCCTAAATACTGGATGAAAACTGAGAGAAGGAAAGGTCTCAATAAAACTCAACATTCAATCAGTGCAAAGCACTAAAATTTATCATCAAAAATAAGAAAGGAAAGGCCTCAGTAGTGTTTTAACTTCTACAAGGCAACCAGACCTCCTAAGCTCCTACTGGAAAGCATATTAACTGCTAAAATCAAGATTTTTCCCTAGCTTTTAAGAGAACCATAGCACCCAATCTTGCAAATTGTCAATCCCTTCGAACAGAATAGTCCTTTGAAACCAAACACACACACACACACACACACACACACACACACATGACATCTTCCAGCAGCAAAATAATCTGATAGAGATACTCAAATCACTTGAAATGTTAACCATATCCAGTTGGATTTTCAGTAATTACAAGAATGGTACTAACAGAGAGATCTTCCTAGAGCAACAAAAGCAAATGCTTCCTAAATCCCCCAACAAAACAAAGTGAAAACAGGACAGGATCAGTAGAATTGAAATGCATGCAATTAAATTTCAATGTAAGCTGTTAAAGAGACCAAGACCCACAAATAAGAGACCAACTTACAGTGGGATGTGAGAATTAAGCGTCACATTCAAAGAGAAACTTGCAGTCCACAAAACCCAAGAGCAGCCAATTCTTTAGGAGCATGACAACCCCATAAATATAGCCAAAGCAAAATGGCAAAATCTACATCTATCCCAATTACCAATAAAGCACAAATTTACCAAAAACTATAAAATAATACTCACGATCTGCTTGAGGAAAAAAAAACTAACCGAATAAAATAGGAGGCCATTGATTGGAAGTGGAATGGAGCTATTAATACTGATGTGGACGAACAAAGCTATCTTTATCCACAAGCTGCAAAATAATGGGCCACTTGGTGTCACTTTCAGACCAAGAATCTTAACTTAAACAAATGGTTTTCTACAAAGTTGAAAAAAGCCATCCAATTGAGGGGGTCCAATTTTTGAAAAAAGCAAATGGAGTTTTAAGTTTTAACCGACCTTGTTAACTGTAAAAAACTGAAAATGGTGAAAAAAGAAAATCTGTAACTGAAAAGCAGTGATAGTGTTTGGTTAATTCGGGACAGCGTGAGGATCTAAAAGCACACGTGTTGATAAGTGGATTGAGTGTTGAGACAGTCAACAGGGAGGCAAATGGGACCCATTTAAATCTGTCAGCTTTGATTGCTTTGCGAGAGGGGAAAGTACACATGGATTCTTGATTTCATTGGTCTCTTGCTGACAAATCTCCGAATTTAGAGCGGTTCTACCTACTTACTTTCGTGAGAGGGCTTTAATTGACCTTGAGGGTTTGACATCAGATTGGGAAAGAGTGAACGGATCGTGGAGGAAAATGCTAATTGAAAATTTTATAAAATTTTCCTTGCAAGTTGCATCAACGAAGGAGAAGGGAAAATGATAAAAGTAAGAGAAAGATGTATTTTGTTATGAATAGTTTATAGAAATGGATGCCATGTGTGTGAATAGCTTATGGATGGACTCTCATGCTCTATATCCATCCCCTCCATTATTTTATAATAGTAAATCTTAAAATGTTATGCCTATAAAAGGCTGTGTAAATAGCAATGAAAAATACTAAAAGAAGTGAAATACTCCTTCTTTCTATATTTGTTTTTTATTTATATTTTATTAAATTATTGTTATTTTATAATATGTTATCAGCACGAGTCTCTAACTATCTAACTATCCTTATATCGAGTTTGATTTTCTCCTTCAGGTACGTTATAGATCTAATTCTTGTATAATAAATAATAATAATAATAATATATATTACACAAGCATCAGCACCTGCAGATTCATAGCATATGATGTTAAGTGACACATTGGAAAATTTTCATAAGTTTCCTTATGTTTATACGGGAGAAAACAGAAAGTTAAAGGAAGTTTGGTTATTTTCTTTGTGTGAGAATTTGGCTTAAGATTTACTAGCATTTGTTCCCGTAAAAATGAACTAACTTCAATAATGGCATCTAGCAAATTTTCATTTAGATATGTGTTGAGAAAATAATATTAAACAAGTACATATGTAATTGGTCTTGAAAGACTGATAGAAAACTTTACTCACAATATTTCTCTATGGCAATAACTTATGCATATATGGACAAAAATGTGATTTCTTTTAGTGATATGATAATAGGTATAAATTTTTCTTTCCCCCATTTATGTTTTGAGGTATTTTTGAAGCAAAAGTTTCGGATCTTATTACAAAATTTACAAATGAAACTTCTTCACTAAAAATGACATTATTATTTCTAATTTATTTATTTTCTTTTATAGCTTTTGCCATGTCAAATTTATCGAAACTTGAATTTGTGGCAATTCATATCATCGGGAAGACTTATTTGTCATGGGTCCTTGATACTGAAATTCACCTTGACACTAAAGGTTTTCGGAATACTATTATACAAGGAAATGAAGCATCAAATCAGGATAAAGCGAAGGCCATGATTTTCCTTCGTCGTCATCTACATGAATTAAAAACTGAATATTTAACTGTAAAAGATCCACTTGAATTATGGATTAATTTGAAGGATCGATATGACCATCTAAAACTTACGGTATTACCGAAAGCTCGGTAAGAGTAGATACATTTAAGGTTGCAAGACTTTAAAACCGTAAAGTGAGTATAATTCTGCTATCTTTAAAGTAAGTTCTCTATTAAAATTATGTGGAGACACTATCACAGATGAGGACTTATTGGAAAAAAAAAATATTTTCCACTTTTCACGCTTCAAATGTGGTGCTACAACAACAATACCGTGAAAAAGGTTTTAAGAAATATTCTGAGTTAATCACATGCCTACTTGTGGCAGAATAGAATAATACTCTATTAATGAAAAATCATGAAACTCGTCCCACTGGGTCAGCTCCATTTCCGGAAGTGAATGCTGTAGTAACATATGATAGGTTTGAAAAAAATAATTACCGTGGTCGTGGACATAGACGTAGACATGGACGTGGCAGGGGACGAAACAATTATCGTCATTATGGTAGAAATAAACAGGAGAATAATAAGGTTCTCAAATTAATCCATCAAAAGGTAAAATTAATATGTGTCACCGATGTGGTATGAAAGGTCATTGGGCATGTACTTGTCGTACGCAAGATCATTTTGCCAAACTTTATGAAGCCTCCCTCAGAAAGAAAGAAAATAATGTGGAGGCACACTTGACCTTTTAAAATAATGATAATGAAGCGGGTCTCTCAAACAAATATGATTCTGAGGCACATCTTGCATGTAAAGATGATGATTTTGGAGGCCTTGCAAATATTACTCATTTAAAAGCTGGAGACTTCTTTGAGAATATTGACTAAAGAACTAATCATCTTATTGGGAATTAAACTATATAAAAGTTGTCGTTTATCATTTATATTTGCAACTAGTTTATTTTTCTTGAGTGTATTTTCCTAATGCATCATGTGTTGCTAGTTTCTACATTCCTAATGTATTTCTTAATTTTTTTTTTCTGTTAGTCTTTCATATTTCTTATGGTGTGCTTTTTGATTTTTTATGAAGAATATGAAAAATTTTCAGTCTTCATTTGGACTCAAAATTAATAAAGATGATATATGTCTTCTGGATAGTGCTACAACGCACACTATTTTAAGAGATAAAATATATTTCTTTTTGGTAATGAAAGAAGCCAATGTTAATACAATATTTGGTAGTACAAGATTAATTGAAGGTTCTGAAAGAGCCAATTTATTACTACCAGGTGGAATAAATTTGGCTATTGATGAAGCACTATATTGTAGTAAATCTCAAAGAAACTTATTAAGTTTCGAAGATATTCGCCAAAATGGCTACCATATTGAGACTACAAATGATGAAAATATTAAATATCTTTATATTACTACAATAATGCCTGGTAATAAATATGTGCTTGAAATGTTACCTGTTGTCATGACCCAAAATCCAAGTAGTAGTGATAACACCTAACGCAACCCGCTAGGTAAGCCAATTAGCAACAATCTAATTCAAATGAGATTTACTGAGAAAATAAATGATGAAATAACTGAACTTTTATACACTTCCCAAAGACTGGTAGTACAAATCATGAGCTTCTAAGATTAAAAGTTTACAAAGCTGGTATGAAATAAATACACCATCTGTTCGAAACATACATAAACAGATTAAAAATTCTAAAGCTACCAAGAACAAGAGGCAGCTATGACAGGAATATAGGTACGTCTTCAAAGCCAACTTCCGCCACACACAGCAACATCAACATCCAAAATCTGCATACAAGGTGCAGAAGTGTAGTATAAGTACAACCGACCACATGTACTCAATAAGTAACAAACCTAACATTAGGTTGAAGGAGTGACAAGCTTGGACAACGGTCAGAGTCCAACACCAATAGCCAACAACAACTTAAAATAACATAATAAAAGTATTACAAGAAATAACTCAAGGATATGATGTTAAGATCGTTCACAATTACGGAAAATAGGCATGTTTTTCAAGTATAACAGTAAAACCCAAATCTTTCACCAGAGTCACCAAAATATGAGTAAGTCAGAAATCTGTGATTTTTTCCAAAAACTTTCAACAACAGATAAGATGTTTCAATCTCAGATAGCATGAAGAAAGTATATCCCAATGCCTACATGTCAATATACATGTGAAGTCACGAATATCACAATACCGTGTAGCATGAGGAAATGCATCTCTAGGCTTGTATATCAAATATACATGTCAATGCAATGCATCACAGTGATGAACTTATGTACTCATACTCTCAGAGTACTCAATCTCACTGTCTCGCACTCCCACTCATCATGCTCAATCCCTCAGCACACTCAGTCAATCAGCACTGTACGATACCTGCTGCGGCGCGCAGCTCGATCCCATCATAAATCAATAACAACTGCGCTCACTGCTGGTATGCCAGAATATGGAGGGGCGGATCCTGCCCAAGCGCTAATATAAACCATCATAGCCTCATGCGGCGTGCAGCCCGATCCCATCAATAATATATATAAAGCCCATAGGGCTTGCTGAGGCGTGCATCCCGATCCATATAATAATAATACATATGAAGTCAATATGGCCTGTTGCGGCGTGCATCCTGATCCCCTCAATATCACTCACAATTCGGCCACAACTTAGTCATCAATCTCTTCAGTCTCTCGAGCTCGCAAATCTTATGCCAATTAGCCCAAACAATGATACATGATATAATAATAAATGACAATAGAGACCGAGATATGATATGCAAACGAATGAATATGACTGAGTATGTAATTTAAATTTAAGTAAATAACTCAACAACAAAGATGACCTCAGTGGGCTCCAACATAATAAGTATATATCCTAAACATGATTTCTAACATGATTCACAGCTCAATTACTCTAACATGTAGATATTTCATGGATAGAAACAAGATTAGGTAACTACACAGTATCACAGAATCAACCGAGTCATAATTCACACGGTGCACGCCCACACGACCATCACTAGCACGTGCGTCACCTCATCACCAAACACACAACACGTATGTTCAGGGATTTATACC